TTTGAGCATATATCTAGTAATTACAATTGTCAATGAAATAATCTGACTACAGTTGTCAATGAAATAATCTGACTCAATAGTCAATAAGCTTTAAAGAAAAAAAGCCAACTCTGGATTAAAAAAATAATTACTAAATGAAACCATGGACGGTTGTTATTGGACGAGAAAAGTTTATTGGTTGGTTTGGAATCAATCTCTAATCTACAGTTGTGACGTCAGTGTGTCAAATTATTAATAGCATACCAATTTTTAGTCCCATTACCGAAGTTGATCTGAGGATGGCTGCATGATCACCAAATCTTATCCATCTTTGATAGATTCTGTGTCGTATAAGCCAGGGTTCTTGTAGGTATGCATTCATAATTTCCTCATGCACGTTTTACTATTTCGTACAAAAAATATTGTCATGCCTTTTCTCCAAATACTGGATTGTCAAGGCTGGCATATACTGGCTATGTGCAAACATGCAATATCAGTTGGAGTGGGAATGGAAAGTTATTATAGATGCTGAATGGTGCCTCTTAAAATGGACACCCATATTTTATATAATTGAAATGTCTGTTCAGAATCCTCAATCTGTTATTTTGGATCTCTTTGTACCTACAGTTGCACGTCAGTCTGACATCTTAAAATTCTGATGGGATCTTCAGGGCTTACTTTAGCAGATTTGGTTTTGGCCTACAAAAAGGCACTCTTTCACAAACATGCACTAAAATACAGATTAAATTAACCTGCATGAAGTACTATCATTATTTTATTTATCAACTTCCGGGGGGAAATCTTCATTTACATTACTGCATTGGCTCTATTTACCTATAAAAGCTTAGCAGTATACAGTTCAATATTTTATTATGGTATACTTGCTCAATTGGTTATGGTGGGTCTAATTTTCTGTCTATTCAGGTTTCAACTGGTCAAAAGCCAGTTGTTGGCCTACGCCTGTACTTAGAAGGGAAAAGACGAAATCGGTTAGCCCTACATGTACAACATCTCTCAAGCCTTCCAAATACTATGGATACCAGCACAACAAGGCCGTGCTGGTGGCGTGGTTCTGATGACTCTGAGTTGAGTGAACAATTCTTAGAGCCAATTAAATGGAAGAGATACTCAAAAATCTGTTCATCCGTAGTTAAGCATGATCCCAACTGGTTGAAGGGAGATTCAAATGGTGTGTATATTGTAACTGGTTCACAGCTCATTAGCAAAGGGAAATGGCCCAAGACGGTTCTTCACCTTCGTCTGCATTTTACCTACCTACCCAATTGTGGAATCCGGAAGACTGAGTGGGCTGCTGCGCCAGAGGCTTCACACAAATCAAGTTTCTTTACGAATCTGAGTACAACGTTTACATTCACTCAGCGGACAGTAACTGATCAGCAAAAGCAGGCTCCAGCTGCACTGAATTCAGGTGTGTATCCAGAAGGACCACCAATGCTAGATCGCTCAGCAAAGCTGCTTAAATTTGTAGAAACAGCTGAGGTTGTTCGTGGCCCACATGATGCTCCCGGACATTGGTTAGTAACAGCTGCTAAACTAGTAAAAGAGGGAGGTAAAATTGGTTTGAATGTAAAGTTCGCGTTGTTAGACTATTGGTGAATTGCAGTTTGCTTTTGTACAATTAGAATGGAGAAAATAGTAGGTCAAAATTTCGTTGATTTTTTATTTCATTTCCACTTTTTTGTAATTAATAAATATTGTAAGAATGTATGTAATAGGAAGGAGTGGTTACAGAGTAAAATTATATATAATGTTTGACAAAATAGATTACAAACCAAAGAAAGTCTGGCTTGGCTTTACTTCTGCTTTTTGCAACCGCCTTAGAAATTCTAAAGTAAACTCTCTTTGTTGTGAGAGTTCATTTGCACAATAGGCTTGGCTTCATGCCTCTAATAACCGTTCCATTCCTCCATCAGATCAGGGAGATATGAAACACATTACTAATAATTGGACTAAATTTAAGAGAGTAAATTTTTCCTTTATCCTAAAATTTTTGGATCGAACACAACCAAAACTTGGATATTGTTGTCTAACTAGGAGGATGTAGCAAGACTATTCATAAGAGGTTGATGACTAAAATTTATCCATCATAATCCCACCATTTTTGAGAGGGTTTTGAGGAAGGGGGATTAGAACTTAGGACCTTGGGTGCATAAGTAAATGCTCTTAATCACTCAAACTAGAATACCCTTGCATATTCCAACTTTTTAAATTCTGAATTGATGTGACGTACTCTCTTTTGGCAGAAGCATACTCGGTCTCATCTATTAAATTGATTCCTCATGGAGGATTTGCAAAACTAAAATTTTCTAATCTTTCAATAATGATGGATGCCCTTCTGCAGGTTTCTTATCCAGAACCAGAACAACACAAGAATTTGGCCACAATGTGCCAGTTCAAAGAAGCTTTGGTTGTTCAAGTGTTTTGGAGGTTCTTCCTAAAGTTGTCATCAGCTCTTAGGAGGGTTTGATGTGGGCCTATCAGCACAATTTGCAAACTCTGGTTCTCTCTAAGGTTTTTTCATCAAATTTTATTGATTTAATAATTTAACAACAGCCAACGCGATCTAACCTAGCGAAACATCGCCATAAAAAGAATGATTTAGCAGCATATTGAACTCTAAGAACACTGGAAAATTTGGTGGTTAGTCCATGATATTTAATTCCTGCATATCATCGATTTTCTCATGTTCAGTTAGCACGTACTTATCAAGAGGTCAATTATGCCGTTGATGGTGATAACTTGGTATATTGGGACATGACATTAATCCTTTCTATCATTTGGCAACATTGCTTTCCCTCAGTAGTTAATCATACATATTATTGATTGATCATGCACCTAATTCTGGCTTTTCTTAGGTCCCACTTATAATTTTTATTGTTGACATAATTTTTTTTTCTCTAGAGTATATTTTCTTGGAAAATATACTTCATTCCTTCCCTCCTTCCTTTATAAGTAGCAACTTTACATTTATGCCGATGGCAGTATGATATTAGTTTTTGTGTGTGTGTTTTTGATGAATTAACTTTGCACATATGTCAAATTATAATTTGCAGGAAGGAGGAGTATCTCTTTTTAGAGAAAGAGACAAGCAGTATCCAATTTTCCGATTTGGCTTTAGGGGCAATGTTTATTTTATCCAACAAATATTTAACATTTGTGATATTTAGTTTTTGTTTCACCACATGGCATGGAAATGAGAGGTTTATTCCAGGTGAGAGGAGGGCATGGAAATTGTATAATGATAGTGTCACGTCATGTAATCATCAAAAAGCCTTGAAGGGCTGCGTGAAATAATTCGGTTACTTGCAATAGGCCTCATCATTTGGCCCGCGGGCTCATGGGCCGATGGGGGCCCGCCCGGCCCATTGGAAAAAAGCCCGGCCCGGCCCGTTATGGGCTTTGGGATGGCCCGGCCCGCCTTGGGCCGGGCTAGGCTTGGGCTTGGGTGTCTGAAGCCCGGCCCGACCCATAGGCCCGGCCCGATTAAGCCCAAGAAGGCCCGGCCCGGCCCACCCACAAAAGCCCGGCCCGTTAGGCCCGCATACATATATAATTATGTATAAATAAGAGTTTAGGATTAGGATTATATCACTTAAATCACATATATAATTTGTTTCATTTCATTTACTTTTCTTTACTCATTCCTAATTTATAATTGGATGATTAGCACATTAATTTGTGTCAATTATTAATACAACAATTATATATATATATAAATAAGATGAACAATATATCATATCACTAAATATAATCATATCACGAAACATAATCGTACTACTACCACCAAATATAATCATGTTTTTCTTGAACACATCACCAAACATTTACATATTTATTTATACCATCCTTTAAAAAAAATATCTTTTTGATACTTATTACTTTTTAAAATTATTTCTTAAAACGTATTACGGTCTAATTATGTAATAACCTCAAAAATAATACTTTGTTTTATTATTTTTGTGGAAAATCTTATTAAGTTGTGTGACTTTATTGGGTATTTTATGAATTTGGTTTGATGTGAAAATATTGGAATTAAGTGAGTTTAATCTCAAATTTAGACTAAAATGTCCTTATGATTAAGTTTATGATTTTTTTCAAATGAAGTAGGCCCGTTTCGGCCCGGCCCGTTGGGCTTAGCCCAGCCCGACCCAATGGGCTTTCTCAAGCCCGACCTATGGGTCGGGCTTGGGCTTTGAATTTTCTAAAAAAACCCAGCCCGGCCCGGCCCGATATTTTCTCTCTCCTCTTTAAAGCCCGGCCCGGCCCGGCCCAAGCCCGTTAAATTTGGGCCGGGCTAGCCCGGCCCGGCCCATTGACGAGCCCTAACTTGCAAAGTGCATTGCTAACCATGATTGCTTGTCTGGTCAGCCGTCACCAAGAATAATGCTATATAGCACAAAAGTAGTCATGCATGCATATTATGCATAGATGCATATGCATGCTTGAGGCAGCAACCATGCCGAAATCATAGTCGTCTTGTTTTTATTGAAGACATATATTGGTGTACATTTCGTTGATGATAATGGTATCGACACATTTTTGATGATATATCAGCAGCTATAAAGACTTGATGTCGTGTATAATGTCAGACTAAGAGGTTCCATATTGTTTATATTATATTTTAGTTTATTTTGTCTAATATAAATATTTTTAGACCATTTAATCATGAAAAACTCATTGTCTTGAATGACAATTCGTGCGAAGACATTATCTCATGTCTCTCATATGCATTGTTTACGATAAAACTAAAATTATTTAATGCTAAAATATGAAAACTATGAGAGAATATTTGTTTGTGGGAATTTTCTGTGTATTCTTCTCATTGTAGGATGTCATATTTATAATACAACGAAACCTGAATGGGCAAGTAAATAATAAATTCCTAAATCTATTTACAATAGGAAATCAAGAATTAAAGTAAATCAATTATAATTATAATAGGAATTCTTGGTGTGTAAGGAAAGTAAGTCAATATCCACAAGTCACACCAACACTCCCCCTCACGTTGGTGCATAGATGTCGTCAATGCCCAGCTGATCCAGTGAATTGTGGAATGCTTTACTGGAAATCGCCTTTGTCAAAATATCCGCCAATTGATCCTCGGATTTCACAAAAGGAAACTGAAACACTTTAGCCTCAAGCTTTTGTTTGATGAAGTGTCGATCCACCTCAACATGTTTAGTACGATCATGCTGAACCGGATTCTGTGCAATGGCTATAGCAGCCTTGTTGTCACAAAAGAGATTCATTGTAGATGTAGGTTTATACCCAAGTTCAGTAAGCAACTTTCTTAACCAAAGAAGTTCACAAATCCCTTTAGTCATGCCTCTGAACTCGGCTTCTGCACTGGATAAAGCTACTACATTCTGTTTCTTGCTCCTCCATGTCACCAAATTACCTCCCACGAATGTGAAGTAACCCGATGTGGATTTTCTATCTGTTACATTACCTGCCCAATCTGCATCTGAATAACCATCAATATTTAGATAACCATGCTTTGAGAACATAAGTCCTTTTCCAGGTGCAGACTTCAAATATCTAAGTATCCGAAGAACTGCATTCATGTGGTCTTCACTTGGAGAGTGCATAAATTGACTGACAACGCTCACTGCATAAGCAATGTCTGGTCGAGTATGTGACAAATAGATCAATCTTCCCACTAACCTTTGGTATCTTTCTTTGTTAGTTGGAACTTGATCCAGATATTCTCCAAGATGATGATTCTGAACAATAGGAGTGTCCGCAGGTTTGCAATCTAGCATTCCTGTGTCTGTCAACAAGTCCAAGACATATTTCCTTTGAGAGAGAAATATGCCTTGCTGCGATCGAGCCACCTCAATTCCCAAGAAATACTTGAGTCCACCTAGATCCTTCATTTCAAACTCTGTAGCCAGATAGTCTTGTAGCTGTGATATTTTCTGTTTATCATTCCCAGTAATAATCATATCATCAACATAAATTATTAATGTTGTTACCTTCCCTTTCCGATGTTTCAAGAACAGAGTATGATCGGAGTTGCACTGTTTGAAACCATTGTTCTTCATTGCCATGGTGAACCGTCCAAACCATGCACGTGGTGACTGTTTCAACCCATACAATGCTTTTCGTAACCTGCAAACTGTTCCAGTCTGAGTAATATTATAATCAGGAGGAATGTCCATGTACACCTCCTCCGTGAGTTCGCCATGTAGAAAAGCATTCTTTACATCAAACTGGTGTAGTGGCCAATCCAAATTAGCTGCAAGGGACAATAAGACTCTGACGGTGTTTAACTTTGCAACTGGAGCAAAGGTTTCTTCATAGTCTATACCATAGGTCTGTGTGTACCCTTTTGCCACAAGTCTTGCCCTGTATCGCTCGATAGATCCATCTGCATTGTGTTTTATAGTAAACACCCATCTACATCCGATAGTCTTTTTTCCTCGTGGTATAGTCTCCAATGTCCAAGTCTGATTTTTCTCAAGAGCTTTCATCTCCTCTTTTATAGCTTGGACCCACTTAGGATCTTTCAATGCTTCAGAGACCTTGGTTGGAATATGGATAGCAGACAACTGATGCACAAAAGCCTTGAGTGGTTCAGACAGCTTCTCAGTGGATACATGATTTGCAATTGGATACTTGGATGTTTTGCCAATATCAGGTGAATAGCGGTTTGGTGGCTTCCCACGATTTTGCCTGAAAGGTAATTGATATCCAATAGTTTTATCCTCTAAATGCACAAGTCTAGTAGGAGTAGTTACCTCAAGGATATTCTCAGGAGATTGGTCTGTTGGTACTGTTAAGTTAGAGGGGGGGTCTTCATCTTGTTGTTCTGTATTGTCTGTAGGTGTGAGACTCGGATCAGAAATATCTTCGTATGGATCAGGTGGGTCAGGTAATTGATCGCTATGAATGGGCGATTGGTCGCTTTTCGGCATAGAGTAATCTTGTGCTCCAGACTCAGGATGATCAATCATTTCTGTACATAGGAGAATTTCTTCGTTTTCCAAGTTGCTCCAATTCTGCTCTTCACTTCGTATCTCCCCCTGAAGCGTAGAATTGGATGATGGGTCATGGAAGAACAGCTCAGATTCCAGAAAGGTCACATCCAAAGTGACATAGGTACGTCGGGTAGGAGGGTGATAACAACGTTAGCCTTTCTGATGAGTGGCATAACCCACAAAAACACAACGAAGCGCACAGGGATCAAGTTTGCTACGTTGATTTTTGTGGAGATGAACGAAAGCCACACATCCAAAGATTCGGGGTGTGAGTACCAAAACAGAGGGCAGAGGTCTGTGTTGCGCAAGCACCTGTAAGGGAGTTTTAAAGGTCAATACACCAGAAGGCATGCGGTTGATTAGGTGAACTGCAGTGACAATAGCATCATCCCAGTGATGGCGAGGAACATGAGCGCCAATCAAAAGTGCTCGAGCGGTTTCAAGAAGATGTCGATTCTTTCGTTCAGCAACACCATTTTGTTGCGGTGTCTGAGGACAAGTCGTCTCATGGATAATTCCATGTTGTTGGAAGTAAGTCTGAAAGTCATGATTGACAAATTCTCCACCATTGTCGGAGCGAAGAATCTGGATTTGAGCATTAAACTGAGTTTTCATCTGTTTGTGGAAGGACTGAAACAGGGAAAACACTTCGTTTTTATTCTTCAGCAAATAAAGCCATGTCATCCGTGTACAATCATCTATGAACGTGACAAACCATCGAACACCAGAAGGAGCAGTGATAGGTGAAGGTCCCCAGACATCAGAGTGAATTAACGTAAATGGAGTAGTACACTTGTTCGTACTCAACGGGTAGGGCACACGGTGACTCTTGGCCAAAATACAAGTGTCACATGTGAAGTCGGAGTCCTTGAAACCTGAGAATAAATCTGGTATAAGATGCTTCATATAACTAAAAGACGGATGTCCCAATCGACGGTGCCACAACCAGATTTGCTTTTGTTTGCTATCAAAGGGATGCGTCACACTGTTAGCCATGCCAGGACTGAAGTCATCGACATAATATAGCCCCCCTCTCTTAGTACCACGACCAAGAATCTCCTTAGTGTGAATATCCTGAAGCAAACAAAAACTCGGGTAAATGAGTACACAACAATTCAATTGTTCAGTAAGCTGACTAACGGACAACAATTTAGTGGATAAAGATGGAACAAGTAAAGTATTAGACAGTGTGAGAGAGGATGAGAGTGCAACAGTGCCAGCCCCTGTCACAGGATAAGTAACACCATTGGCATTTGCAATACAGGTTCGTCGAGGTTGTGTAGTATTCAGAAAATCATCAGGATCAAACGTCATATGATCAGTTGCACCGGAATCAATTATCCAACTCCTGGAATCAATCTTAGCGGAAGTATGGAATCCATAACCAGTACCATTACTGGTCGTATTGTGTTGTCCTCGATCTTTAAGAGTAGCCCACCAATCGGGATAGCCATGCAATTTAAAACAAGTCTCACGAGTGTGTCTTGGATCACCACAATATTCGCAATCTGGTCCATGTGTCGGGGTCGTTAGTCGAGAAGTCATAATCTGTGCAGCGGAAGATGTATAGGATACATGTTTAGTAGGAATTCGGATCGGGATCTGAGCCTGAGTCGGGTCGGAGTCGGAGTCGAAGTCGGGATCGGGGTCTGAATCAAAGACAAATTCGGGGTCGGGGTCGAAGTCATCATCGAAGTGGGGGTCGAGGTCATTGTCGGAGTCGGAGTCAGAGTCGAGGTCATCGTCGTCGTCATAGTCGGGGTCAGGGTCGGGGTCGTCAAAAGAGGATCCTGATTCAGGATTAGATTCGGGGCCAAAGTCTGCATCTGTAGGAGCTGAGCCATCTGGGCACTCAACTCGGCTATGGTTGGTTGAGAAGGAGAGAAGGAGTCGGTGGTGCTACCTCCATGAGGGATGAAAAAATCACCAACCCCCATAGCGGTGGCGGGGGTGTGAAACTAGAGTCAGCAATTCCAAGATCGCTGCTCTGATACCATGCTAAAATATGAAAACTATGAGAGAATATTTGTTTGTGGGAATTTTCTGTGTATTCTTCTCCTTGTAGGATTTCATATTTATAATACAACGAAACCTGAATGGGCAAGTAAATAATAAATTCCTAAATCTATTTACAATAGGAAATCAAGAATTAAAGTAAATCAATTATAATTATAATAGGAATTCTTGGTGTGTAAGGAAAGTAAGTCAATATCCACAAGTCACACCAACATTTAACACAGTTAACGGGGTCTAGCCTAATGAAAAAGGGTCTTAAATTTGACACAAGATTGAATTTAAAGTATTGTCCATCTTAACTGTTGGACACTTATCTCTGACACTTGTTCTAACACATGAAGAAATTGAACTCTATATTACACAAATCATTAGATAAAGTATATATCTATTTTAACACTTAGATGCAGTGGTGGATCTATGATTCAAAAGTCAAGTAGGCGAAACTTACCTTAAAAACTCGACGGTATGAGTGAATTTTATTCATAAAATAAAAAGATACACCTAGTCAGGAGGGACGTAATGAGCCTTACCCTCAAATATGCATATCTATACATAAATAAAAGCTTGACAAAAAAATAAGAAGTAAATGCAATGCAACACAAAATTAAACTATTTAAATCTAAAACTTTACTCTACGAGGCTTAGAAATCTTAAATTCCTCAATTATATGTTCATTATCGATATTATTAGCAAACTCTCTTTCAATGTGGAGAATCATGCAATCAGCAAGGAATTCATCATCTATGGTGCTCCGAAATCTATTCTTAATAATTCTCATACATGAAAAATCTCGTTTCGTTGTTGCTGTAGAAACAGGAAGAGTCAACACTAACAGAATCAACCTGTAAAGCAAATGGTAGTTTTCTGCCAAAGTTGTTTCCGCCAATTGTTGACATAACTGAGGAAGAGTGATGATGTCCTTAAAGCAGGGAAGGTGATGCATATCATTTTGAAAATACCTCAACTCAATTTCTAAAGCTTTCAAGTCACTTGCATTGAAATCAGTAGGATATAATTTCTCAGCAAGTTTACATAGATGCCCAATATTGAATGATTTGAAGGATTACGAGGATCCAATGCTGAGCTAAGAATAAGAAGTTTAATTGTTTGCTTTGGAAATCTGTCATTTAACTCACTCAACATGCAATCTATCACATCATTAAATACATCAACACGATAGCAATGTTCAATTGTAATAAAATCTTTTTATTGACAAAAACGACGTGTGCTAATCATATAACGAAAACTCATATAAGGAACATCAATACCATGATGTTTACAAAATGATACCACACTCATGAATAAATCATCCTAGCCATGTGCCCTCATATCTTAAAACTGTGAGTTTGTGTTTTCAACAAAGTTTAAAGCACTTACAATATCTTGAGTTTTTGTCTGAAACACTTGACAAAGAAAGTTGTGCAATCCCATAATTTTATCCATCAAAAGAAATGAAAACACAAACTCAAAAGACATCATAGCAATATAGTTATTCTCTGCATCACCACGAAATTGTTGGTTAGGTCCATAATCACCGATTTCCTGGAGAAGTATTTTAGTCTCTTTAAATAAACTCATCAAACTTGTAATAAAGGCAAAGTGAAATCCCCAACGAGTGGCTCCAGCTCGTTTCAAACTTCGACCTTGATTAAGTCCTCTACTTGTCTCAAGTTCCCCAGAATCCAACAATTCTTTGAGTTTAGCTTTTCAAATTAAATTTAACTCATTACGGCGCTTAGCAAAAGTACTAACAAAATTCACAATGTTAGTCAACATTGAAAAAAATCTTCATACAACTTCACATGCTTATATTGCTTTTTATTGTTTTTGTTAATGGAGAAAGTTTGAGTGAGTTGGGCTATTGTTTTTGTTAAAGGGACAAATTTGAGTGAGTTGGGTTTGAGTAGGTAGAAGAAATTTGATTGTATTGGGTAATTTTTGGTTTGGCAAAAAATGGAGTAGGCGACTGCCTACCCTGTCCTTATGGTAGGATCGCCTTTGTTAGGTTGGGTTTGAGTAGGCAGAAGAAATTTAATTGTATTGGGTAATTTTTGGTTTGGCAAAAAATGGAGTAGGCGGCTGCCTACCTTGTCCTTAGGGTAGGATTGCCCTTGGTAGGTTGGGTATGAGTGGGCAGAAGAAATTTAATTGTATTGGGTATTGGGTAATTTTTGATTTGGCAAAAAATGGAGTAGGCAGCTGCCTACCTTGTCCTTAGGGTAGGATCGCCCTTGGTAGGTTGGGTTTAAGTAGGCAGAAAAAATTTAATTGTATTGAATATTGGGTAATTTTTGGTTCGGCAAGAAAAGGAGTAGGCGGCTGCCTACCCTACTCTTAGGGTAGGACCACCCCTGCTTAGATGCATATGTCTCCTAGCGGAAAGTTTCTCCATACATAGTACATTATTTCGGACTCATGCATCTTCTAAAATGGAGCTAATGTCGAGATTTTTTACCTCAAACATTTTGTTGGATATATAAATATATGTGGTTCTCGAATTTGAAGACAAAAATTTATCTATAATCTTAGTACATTTTGAAGAACCAATTCTTTGCTACAACTGATACTAAATTCAGGTCATATGTACATTGCTTTGGTTTTAAGTAGACCTTGCTCATGCTACCAAACAACTCATGCTCTTAACTAACATTATCATTGTTGAAGTGGTTTCTGAACAACTAAATGAAGCCCTCAAAACAGTGGGAGATATTGAAATCAATGTTTTATTAATGGTTAAAACTGAGGGTGAATGTATTCAAATAAAAAAAATTGTCTTTTAGCTCACAATTTTTATTTATTTTAGGAAAAGCATAATTTTAATGAGGAAGAAAGAAAGAGATGATGATAAAGATTATAAGAAAGTTGATCCTTTAGTGTTCTGTTGTTAATTACTTTATTATCACACACCGAATTCAGAATTTTACTCTACTCTGGGTCAAGGGTGTGTGACAGAGATAGTATTGTAGCACCTGATCTCTGTTCTTCTTGTCCCTCCTGTTGGCAGAAGCATGCATTCATGTTATCATATCATGACATGACAAAAGAAGGGTCTGGACTTTGGACCACCAAAAGAAATAAAATTGAGATAGCTTTTGGGCGCAGTTTGCTTTGTGAAAGCACTAGGAGTAGTTAGTTAGAGGTTAGATCTATTTATAATCACATGGGGTTCACTACTTTAATGTCATTCTCATCCCTTCTTCAGGAATTAACTTATCAATTAGATGTTGAGAGGCATCTTTGGTGGGGAATCATGCTCACTACCAGAACTTAATTATAATATCAAACAAATAAAGGAAAATCAGAAAGTTAGAGAAGAAATTAAAGGAAGTTTGCTTTTCTCAGCTATACAATTATAAAAAAGAAAAAGGAGAAGAAATTAATTATATTTAAAAAAAAAGAAAAAAAGAGAGCATATGCATGCCTTGTCATATGGCAGTGCTTTCTCATTGAATAAAAATATGGATTGCATTGTGCCTAGTATGATTACAAGATACAACATTATTCACTGAAAGTGCTCATTTGAAGCATTTAGTACCAAACCCAAAGCTGACAAGAAAGTACAAATGGAGAGATACACTAATTAAACATGACCATTTGATTTTGATGACCAAGCCAATGCTCATAACAGATGGAAAGTTTCAAGAGGATTTTGGCCAGTTCTTCTGGATTTCAAAGTAGTAACTCATGTCCAAGTAGCATTTTCCATCATCATCCAGAAACTGAAACAAGAAAATTAAGAAAATTATAAATAAAAAAACATAAATAAATAAAAACCAATGTCAATGAATTAAGCCTTACTTTTGTTCTCACACAATACCAGCCCCTGGCAAACATGCTTGAAGGGACAGTTTCTTCTTCAGTCTCATATGTATAGGGATCTTGCCTAGGGCTAAAAGTTCCAAGCATTCTTTTTGAGTTGTCCACTGTCAAAAAATTTTGAACAATTAATCTCAGTAATTTTTGTGATTATATTATACAATTTTGATTTTTTATTTTTTTTACCTCTGACACCAGTCTTCCACACTGTATTGGTGTACTTGAGGCCTGAGACTATGTTTTTGGAGACAGTAAATGTAAACCTCATGCGGATATGGCATCCGTCTTTCAGTGTGAAGAGGCTGCTCTTGGGTTTGTTTGTGAATGGAATTGGGAGGACAATATCCGGCCGGCCCCGGCACATGATTGTGAGGCTTAAGACCTTCACTTCTGGTTCTTTGCTCTCTGATATTTAGGAATTCCAAACAATAATTAATGCAAACCCAATTGAGAAAAAAAAGAGCAGAGAAAATTAAATACCTCCAGCAGTAGAGAGATCAACACTTCCAAGAAGTTGTTTCCTTCCATTTCCTCAAACTCTCATCATCCTTATATGTGAATGTGATGAATTGGACAACATTAATGGAAGACTTAATTAAAAAAAAGAAGAAAAAAAAAAAAAAAAAAAAAAAAAAGAAAGAAGAGACATACTTTATCTTTCTCAAGCTGCTCCTTGAGAGAAAACTGAGGGCCAAGGACCAATTCCTTCTCAGATTTCAATGCGGCAACCTCATCATCCTCTTCGTCTAGGTCACCCTCCTCCGCATTATGATCATCACCTACGGGAAGCTGGCTTAGGCTTGGTTGATCATCACCAAGTGCAGCCGTGTTTTTCATGTCATCATTCTTAACTAACTCCTCTTCCTCCCTTTGAGAACTGAAAGTAACATCTTTGGTTGCAGAGATAGCTCCCACGGCGGCCGACATTTTTATCAAAAGAAAGTGAGAAAAACACCCCCAAAGGCAAATGTATGCTTGAGCTAGCGTTGAAGAAAAAAAAAACTAACAAAAAAGAGAGATGAAGAAGAAGAGTATATATAGACAAGACAAGATTTCGGTCTGGTTATGTGGCCCTTCCAAATTACTTGTACCAAATTCAGAGGCTGTTTACCATATTGGGATGCTTTCACTCGTTTTCTAAGTGTGCTGGCAAGAGATGGAGGATGACTGGTTGAGCAGGGAATTATGGGGCTTCGTCGGATATGAAGAGGATTTGGAGCGAATTTTAGGCAGTTGAATATGTGTGTATATATAATGTTTGGAGGACAAAATGCTTAGTTTTGGGCTGGTTACTAATACTAGTAAGTGAGTGTGGGAATTGACCTTTCTACCCCTTATGTTTCCTTTATAATAACCTTCCTAAGTGTAAGTTCAACCATTTATGTAAGTGTATGTATATGCACACTCTGGTTGATTAAGAATTCTTCTATAGTGCAATTTGTTTCCTTTAAAAAGGAAAAAGAAAGTTCTTTGATGGTACAGAGCAGCATGCAGTCATGATGGCATGATCAAAAAGAAGCATGGAGTCATGATGACTTGATCAAAAAGCAAACAGGGAGAAATAAAAGAGAAAAAAACAATTACAATTTGGTCTAGTGGCACTCGGTCTTCACTTGTTAGATAAAACAACAAAGGTCAAAACACACATCGGATGATATGTTTTCAAGATATATTGGCGGTCTTTAGCTAGATTCGCTACTTGAAATGGTTACTGAAATGCCATAAAAATAAAATAAAAAATAAAAAAATGGGTTTTGAAATGATTTCGAATCTTGACTTTCATTGCATTCACTAACAACTTCCCCTTGCGCGTTACAATCCATAACCAATACCAATAAATAAGGAATTAGATTAATTAGGGGTAGTCGATCCCATACACATTCACGACTTCCTTGATTCATGGATTAGGAATTAGATTGATTAGGGGGTAGTTGTTAATCAATGAAAGTATGATATAATTTACATAATATTCTTCACCTCTAATCCGGGGGTGCCCATTTCATAATTTTGGGATGATGTGAATTTTCACTCAGTTGAGGAACTGTATCTGCCAACAACTAAACATGATGGCCAATCTACAGAAATGCTCTTTCCATACCAAGGTTCATTGTGACAAAACCCAACACCAACTTAAAAGCGGTTATTAGCTTGCCATCCACTTCTACATAAGAAAGTTGAATTGTTTATGAAGAGCTCTAAATGGTATCCTTCCATGTAAGTTGGACCTTTATCGCTGGAAACTTGTGCAGTTTCCGTAGTTACCAAAACAGGTTGAAAAGATACGATCTGAACGCAAAGCTTTTTTTCTTTTATAGATCTGTCTATGCAGTTGGTAGATAAAACTTGGGTTTATAGTTGGTTGGTGCCTCTGCCTCCGGGCTCAAGTATTGCAACTGTGGAAGTTGTCCAAGGTCATTGAGTAGGTTCTTTTAAAAATAAAAAAAAATTTATACGCAGTTTCTTTATGGCTTCAAGTTACAGAATGATCGCAACTCCAATCATGGATCCTCATCCAAGTGTAAGAGCCGACCCATGCTATCGATAAAACGAATGTTTATTTAGCTGCTGTCGAAAGGCCCTCTCCATTGTATAAATCATGCAGGACGAAATATGCTAGCCTTGTCTCTACTACGAGGCATACTTACCTACACCGAAGATGTCACTGTTACGGTATCCCAAGCCAACACATTACCATGTGTAAAAGTTTAAACGCATCCCTGGTGTAGCTAAGTTTCTCTCCTCTATTATGGCCACTGTAACAGAACTCTACGTGATCATTGAAGGGCTATCAGTACCATTGGATATGGGTGTTTACAAAGAAAGAAAAATACCCGTCAGCATGTCTGCTTTAGTGAAGAATTGAAGATCGATATATTAGACATGCCTGATCCAAATTATTATTTATATAAAGCACGGACCATTATTTTGCTCGGCTTTGATAATGATGTTATCATATGATTACAGAAACCCTATAAGTGATCAAACATACAAGAAGACATCAGAACTATGAATTATTCAGATTATATCCTTTCAACCTTCCTCAACCTACGGAAAGTTGTCTACTTATCATATCTATAAGCATACAGAAGCCAAACACTGACGTACTGTTCAGCAAACAAGCATACGAATGCAATACTTTCTATATACCAGTACATTCGGCAACTGCAAGAGAATCGTTCCACTGAGTTTCCTGAAGATCATGCATACAGCAGCTGCCTACATTGAGTACCCAAACATGGCGCAGTTTTTGGAACCACAGGTAATACTACCCAGATCAATGCTACCTGGCTCATAAGGTTACAAACAGAGATTTTATAGGGGCTGCGGTCGTGTCTGGACTATATAGATATCTTTGCCAACAACACATCCTTCTATGTCCTGAGGGCAGCCAAACTTCTGCTCAAGGAAAAATCCCACTGTACTGAGGCGCTGACCAAGCTGCTGACGGAAAATTGGATCAACAGTTAATGGTTTCTTGCTGTAGTCTACAGTCAAATGGATAACCTCCCCATCAGCAGGGCCTGTACCAAGTAGCTCCTCACTGAAATTCGCAAATGCCAGTGTACGCACATTCCCATCAAATTTCCCAGATGACAGACGCCAAGGTGTGCCCCTAGTGCCTGAAGCCAAAGTTTCACCGAGGCCAGAAGCAATTTCAGCCTCAACAGAATTATGATCTTGGTCTGTTGGGCTGACGGTATGAAGCACAAATGATAAGTCTGGTGAAAGCATTTCTTGCACCAGAATTGCCATTGTAGCTTCCTTCTGAGGTACACCGGCAGATCGACGGCTCAAAACTGCCCTCCGAGTGTAAAGTGAAGCCCACACTCTGCTAATAGCATTTGCAAAAACTGTTGGATTTGAAACACTAACATTGGGTATCGAGTCATATAATCCAGCTGCCGACATTCCAGCCAAGTCCTCGACATTAGCACTTGAACGAACAATTAGGCGTGCATTGCCTGGAAATATTCTCCCAATGCCATTAATGATGTCTTTCGGGGGCTGTAGGGAAGAGACCAGTTCCTGGAGCTGACTGCAAAGTTGGTCAAGTTCCCCACCTTCCGGCTTCAGTGTTTCTATCTTATCTAGAAAGGACGAGAATAAATCGGTGGATTTGCTTTGCTCTAATGCCAATTCCATAGAGCCAAATGGTATCACTGCCCCCACAGGGACATTAAATGAAGCTGGTACCCCTTGGTCACTATAAACTGCCAATGAAAAACCAGTACGCAAGTCAATGTGATGGAATAACAATATATGCAGGAAAATGGCTGATATCTATTGCGCAATCCACAATCCCTTGTTCATTGTATGCAACAATTGTCTACAGGACATCCTAATGCACGCCTAAGATAATTTTGTTTTTATTGAAATTTAAATGGCTTCATTTTATCATAAATCACATTCATGGAAAAATCCATCATGAATCAATTGTTAAAAGTAGAAGCAAAATTCATAGCACGGTTATCTTTAATTTTTTTCTTTTCTCCTTTCAAATAAATATCACTATTTACTTGATGGATATGGACATTTGATAAATTCCCCGCAAGATGAATAAGTTCATTAGAATTCAAGGGATGTCAAAAGCTGCGCAAGTAGACAAGGATAATAAGAAAACATTTATTTTATCAAATGCATTAAACTCATAACCCAGCAGTACCATAAGCCAAAAGATACATTATTTCTGTAAAAATTTGAAGACATCCACTTTTCAATCAAGGGTCATTTACCTCTCAAGCCAAAATGGTATTGTTCTTTGCTTTTAAAAAAATTTCTTATAAATTTTAAAGAACAGATGCACACTTTATAAGTTTACAAGTTAATGTTTTCTCTGTGCCAAACTCAAATTGAAAGCAGAATTCAAAATAAAGACGAATTGATGCCCAAGATGTGGTAAAGTGAACTTAAAGGCCTGTATGTTGTAACCAGAAAAGAAGGCCTGTATGTTCGTCCCATCAAATTTCAACACCTCTATTCATCTGGAGGCAATATGTAATGTATAAAGAATAAAAATAGGGATTTTGTGACTGAACATGTCTTGTCCATGTCTTTTCCTATGGTTCAGTACAAATGAGCAGTAGGTATGTGGAGTGAGTGAGTTCGGATCCAGTTTGGTGCTAGGGGTGAGAGGATAATTCTATACAGGCTACACAAGAAGTTAGACTCACGGTGTGCTCTAATTTGATTTATTGCTGTTTTACTGTATGGAAGACGGCTTTGATTTGAATTTTTCAGGAGTCTATGGTCCTAATGGTGTCAGTATGAGGAGGTAGTTGTGGGAGCATGGGAAAGGTGAATGGGAGATCTGGAGAACCTTGGGTGGTGACGGGAGATTTTAATGTCGTAAGGTTCAAATTACCATAGCAGATTTGAAACATAAACCATGACTTGTTACAGAGAAAAAGTCTAAAAGAGGATGAATAAGGTTTTGTTCAGAAGAAAATGCGTTCGTAACCACCATAAAAATTACCTTTGTCAGATACTGCTGCCAAAGAAGCTAAACGACCACAAGCCGCAGCCTTTGCCCCTGAAGTCTCTGCTTCTGCATCAGCAAGTAGTAAAATTCCACCAGAAACACCCTAGATGAGGAAACAACTATTAACACAGTCACAGGCAACATAATTTCTGATGATGAAAATCAACATCAATGACCAAAAGAAAAAGTTAGTTAACATTTTGGGATTGAGGAGAGAGATTAAAAATAAAACAAAACTCCACAGTACCTTCTGGAAGTATGGGGCTTTAGTAGGAGACTGGGAAGGATCATGGGTGCCAAGGGCTTCAATCTTGGGTGCAGCATCACCTGAAAGATTTTTCACTGCAAAACTGCCATTGGTGTTTTCTGATGAAGGATATATATCAACACTTGTAGGGGATGCTTCTAACCTGAAAATTTAAAAAATTTGAGGCATAAAAGTAAATAACAAAAATACTGCTACAGCTGTAAGTCCCAAAGCATCAATTACATGATGCATGTAAATAATAGGAGATGAATTTTTCAAGCATGTTTCAATGACTCTTCAAAAGTTTAGAAAAATTAACCTAACATGTTTTCCCTTATGTTTTTGTATATCGGAAACTTTGTCATCATCTTCACATGTCACGAACACAACCTTCTCCTGCAGATCACCATCATAGTTTATTTATTAGAAATATATATCATATGTATATGTATACACAAATTCATTTCAAAAGCATATAATGACTTGAAAATTGGACAGACAAGACATACTTGTCGAGCTCTGACACCAAGATGAGATAAGTGGGGAAGCTCTTGCAGAAGTATGACTCCCACAATGTTACTCCCAGCAGCTGTAACCTGCCAGATATATGAACTGTCAGAAAAGAATGGTAATTTGATTGTGTTACATTGTTACTGTCAGGACTAAAAATATAAGAATAAGCGAAATGGAAAACCTCTTCATCTCCATCTGCTCTGTTGACCATGAGAACGATTGGTCCTTCCACAGTAGATGGTATTGACCCAGGGACAATCCTCTCAACCTGAAGTTATAGTAGTATATATGGGTAACTGCGAACTAAATAATTGCAACAATGCAATCATACTAGGTGCTTATTGTTTTTCTTTATGCATAAACACATCATATGTACATTTTATCTAGTTCATACGACTTTAAAAGTTCTTTCACCTAATTTAATACCTAAGAATATTCTAAGTTTCCAAATAAATCTATTTATGTCTATCACTTTTATTATTCCTTCTTTCTTTTTCAAAATATGTCGATATTTGATCTCTATAAATCTGTAATTTTTGAACTTTGACATGGTGTTCAACTTCAACATTCCAATCCTTGTTTTGTACTAAGCCCTTATAAATAAGTTTAAATTCCAAGAAGACATATAAGCTGAATCTTAAACCTTTTATTTTAGGGATGTATTCAGCTAGAAAGATATTTTGGATAGAAAAACACGAACTTTAAATATTATATATATAACTAATGGGACATTCTCTAATAAGTATTTAACTTAAGGATTTGTTACATACTTCTAATCTCTACCAACACATTTAATGAACGCAATCCAATGGCCAAGATTAGAATTATGTAACCAATCCTGAACATAAAATATTTATTGGAGAATCTCCCTACAACTAACTAGAAAGATGATACACGATGTTGATGCTATTTCACACTTAAGGCGATCAATCATGGAGGTTACCTGAACTAATGTCCCCAGAGCAGCTCCTGGCACAATAACATCCCAACCTTGAGAACCAATGATATTTCTAACAGCTTTTAAAAGAAGGGTGCAGAGTTTTGAAACCTGGAATATTACACTGGACATGGCATTTGTAGGTAGAAAGTCAGACAAAAATAGTTCCCATATAGCACCACTATATACATGCTTAAAAAATTATGTTAAATGAACAAAGATATATTTAACAGATAAACATACCCAGCACGAATCTCAGCTTCAGCATATGTCCTTACACTGTTCTCAGGGATTCCAAAGCTTTTCCTAATATCTGCAAGAATTGTTGTAATTCCAGTTTAAATTTGTTCTAGACTTTTAGCAATTTCTTATGCTGATGAATTAAGTCGACTGGTAGAAATAATATCGAACAGATAACAGAATGAAAAAGCTCAAAGAAGATTTATCAAGGAAATACACATCATTGGACCACAAAATAAATGTAGTATATACGCCCAGGCATTTGGCATGTATTTTCAAGAAATGCTTCAAATCAAAACATATTGTGGTTCAATTGTTTATAAACAAGGATTTGATGCGTTAATCATCATCCAAAGAGATTCCATACAAGCTTTGTTGTACAGGACGCCATATTTGGCCTCATCAACCAAATTTTATTTTTCTCAAAAGATACCTGGACGTTTTGGGGAAATATTTGAAGAAGTGCTTCAGAATATTCTTCAGTTAGCCTCCTTGCTCTATCAAGAGTAGCTTTATGCCTCAGTCCCCAGATTATTTTGCCATCTTCACTTCCTTCATGAACAGAACAGGAGGAAAATTGAAACAAAAGGTTGGGCTGTTTAAACACTATCAAAAGTATGCCAGCTATATGATGCAAGAGTTAATGCACGACAAAATGATAAGAAAGTTACCTTCCCTTTCAGAAAGACCTCTTGCTTTCCATGCAAGGAGTTCATTTTCAATAGCAGCACATTCTTCAGGCTTCCAACCAGATAACCTTAGCTGATGAATACCGACAATAAGCGCACCAAGTGGATCACTCCAAGGGCTAACATCTTTTGATTTCACATTTTCTGCCAGCCAATGAGCCCCTCCCAAAGCATCAAGCTCATTAAGGAATCTAACCAAATCAATGATTGTCAATAACGTAATTAACACCCAGAATTTTTTCTGTAAACTAGACTAATTGACTAGAACATCTTTCACGTTTTATTGTGATCCTGAAACAGTTATGGGTTTTCTGAAACACAAGTTTATGATAGTACTATATCTTAATGCTAACTCATACTGAATGGTGGTTGGATCAGTCTTCCATTGACAAGTGTCAAATATGCCAATGATTAAAGAAAAGAAGAATGTTTAGGTTTGGGGGAAATTACATAAGAACTTTTGATTTGAGCAATGTTTCCCCTAAAGTAAGGTAAAATTTTGAATTTCTCAAATTGCCACAGGACATTCTTCTTTGCAATATTAACAGTGACTAATGCAAAGACAGGCATCCTTATCTCTGAGCAAACAACGTACCCACCATTACTCAATAACTTATGATAAGTTCCTGTGAGCACAAAGGTATTATAATAACCAAAGAAACCAAATTGTAACAAAGAATTTTCCTGCACAGTTTCTGTGCAACTCAAGTTATGTGAGTCAGGTTCGACCAACAGGAAGCATCTCTATGGCCACTTACTGGTGGTTCCACTGTAGAGAAGAACCGGTTCTGAAGGTACTGAGTCTTCAATTCTCAATGTGGTGAAATTTGTGGAGATAATGAATTAATATTTATTTTAAAATTATTAAATATTTTTCCTATATATTATTTCAGCCTTGAATATCACATGCAAGTCACACAGTTGGTAGCATTTGACAGGTTGTGATGAAGGGGCTATAAGCCATTTCCATTTTCAAGGGGGGCATTGCTCAAATAGAAACTTCGAACACTACTTAGACATAGGGGTGCAACTCCAGGAGGCATTAAATTTCCCTATTATTTATCATGTGAAATGAAAGAAACTTAAATAATACTAATCCAGAATCTGGTTTTAGAGCAAAGTTCCTACCTGCTTAAAAGAATAAATGAATAGTCCTCAAGTCCAATCTCGCAAAGACGCCACTGCATTTGTTCACAGAGAGATGAAGAAAGAAACAGATAAACATTGGGAGCAAAATCATGAAATTCTGAACTAGTTAATTGTTTCAATCGAAGCTTTTGCTAAATAATTACGAAAAATGATCTCACCTTTTGACGCATAGCCACTGCTGTATCAGGAGCATCATTTCTAAGGCCACTTTCAAGACCCTTGGCAATTATTTCTCTCAGGTCACTCAAAGATTTCATGGTCTTGAATAACAGATCCGTGCCATTCTTTCCCAAGCCTTTGTTTGATACTTCTAAAGTATCCAAACTCTGGATTTTTTTGGAAAATAAACATTGTTCACAAGATTATGCCATCATAAATCAAACACCACTGACAAAATTAAACTCAAAAAGGAAATACCAATAGAAATTAAAAATCCATAGTAAACAACACCCATACTTATAAATCATTACTTTGTTGATTTGATGAAAAAAAAATTGTCATATCCTTCCTTTCAAGGGGTAAAGGGAGGATAACTTTTTGCTTAAGCAGTTAGATTATGTTACACTTCAGGAGTGCAGTAAACAAGATAATACCTAATCCAACTACAAAAATAACTCAAAATATATAAATGACTTAGATGTATATGCTCCTTAAGGAGCTGAAATTCTTAACACAAAAAAGGCCTCGATCCAACTTCAAGCTCAGAACTGATAAGGAGGGTGCCAAATTGACAACAGCCTCAGTTGTCACCATCTTAGATTTTATAGGGGCACATTGTGAGAGGGCCCAACCCAAAGATGATGACAAACCGATGAGGATTAGTTGCCAGCTAGACTTAAGAAAAAGGCAAGCATGTGAAGAGAAAGTGGGTATATGGGATGAAAATGGGTCGGTTGGATAATGTATATTAGTAACCTTAGATTGTAAACTAAGTATTAGTTGGCCCACATGACAATGGAAAAAACAACTCTAGGCGTCATGTAAATTGAATGCTATCTCTAGATGTCACGTAAAATTGAACCACTGTCCAGTTTGTTTTATGAACCCCACACAACAACAATACATATAAGAAAAAATAAATAAAACTAAACAAATAAGCAATAGAATATTGGCCGAAATTGAACTTCACATAATTCATATCAGAAGGATCTTCATATGCCTGCTTCAAAACATAAAATCACTCCAATACATGAAATTGAAGCACATTAAATGCGAAGGTCTACCTTTTTGCACTCCAAAAACAATGCAAGAGCTGATTGGCCTTTATCATCGATAGAGTCTTTGATGGATTCAAGTTGTTCAGCGAGGCTAGCACATAGTCAAAACCAAATATCACATCAGCAGCACTCAAAATTCCAATTATAAATCAAAGCATATTAATAAACAAGCAAATTTAATAGAAGATCAATCACTCCAAGCCAACCATTTCAAACATGAAGCTGAGAGTGGGGAGTAGCTTTGGTCACTCCGAGTTTAACACAATTATCCTCATAACAAGTTAATCAAGTTTATTTTGAACTTTAGGGAAATATTTTGGTTAGTACATAAGTAAAAATAAGTTCTAAAAGCATTGTTAAACTACAAGATATATTAATAGTTTTTTGCACATTGTTTAAAATTGAACTCTTAAATCTGGTTGAAAAAAGTTTTTGTTAAAGTTTTTTTCTGATATAAGCTGGTTGAAAAAAATATATGGAAGTGACAAAAGCACCCAAGTATGAATCATAGACAACAGAGTGGATAAGATATATAAATTCCCTAATCGACTCATCTTCGAACATCTATTAAGAGCCTAGTTACCTCCTAAATTTCTCCACATAAGGAAAAGAGGTGGGAATTCAAATTCTTACCAGGGTCCCTTAAACCATTATATTCCACATGTTCAAGAAAGGTCAAACATGCTTTCCCTCACAGATTTTCTACCTTTTATCCCTGTGGATAAAACAGATCTCCCAATATCATGCCTACGACTATTTCCTATAAATTCAGGGGTAAGGCTCTACACACTTCTCCTCTGCCTTACTTTTTGATAATTTAGTTGTAGTAGAGTAGGAATTCCGCATCCACAGTAGAATATACTTTTATGTGAATTTTGAAAATGGAAACAAGAACCCTATAAGTAAATAGAAGTTCAGGTTTTAAGAGGTTCAGCCACACTGCATGGATATTATTTTCTCAACATCTTGTAGAGAAGTTTATGTTGATGTAGAATATCATTTAAACTAAGTTCCATAATATTTTTTTGAAATATTATTTTATTCATCAGAAAAAGAGATGTTACTGGATGCAAAATTTATTTCATGTCAAAACCTTCCAGCATTGAAGAAGTCTTTGAGTTCATGATGGAATATCTTGAACTGCTCCACAAATGCTTCATTATACTCTCCAGGGTTCTTTGTTATTCTTGCAAGCATTGCTTCTGTAGCAACTAGATCTTCAGGGCCGGCATTGCGGTGAAGCTTGTTTTGTATAGTATGCTTAATTTCTTGCTGAAGTTTATAAAATTGTTCAATATCAAAACAACATTAATTGTAATAGAAATATATGCACCAATCGACAGAAAAGTGCAACCTTGAGGTCATGAGGGATATCATTCCGATGAGCAATGTCTCTTATTCGTGTTAGGGGAACAGATGCAGTAAACTCTGCCTTGAAAGATGGCAGACATGGATGAATTTTGCGGACAACCAGTACTTCCTGGACATTAGAAATAAAATATTCAACTGAGAACCAGTAACCAAATAAGAAGTTACAAAGCAAAAGGACAAGGTGCAGATATGAGTATGCAAAGATATGTGAACTCCTAGTGATTCTGTCTCTGCATCATTATTTATCAACAAAACATTGTGCTTTGAAGGAGAAATGCCAAGTTTTGTTTGTATTATAGTGTGATGGAAATATCTGGTTTCTTTGGCTGGAAAGAGTTAGTAGGATTTGTTAGGGAAAAGGTGGGGAGGAAGTGAATTTCTAGTGGGATAGACTTTAGACTTTGGGCGTTGCTGTGGGATTCAAATTTAAAAATACTCCATTGCCTTTTCTTGAGTGGATTTGGGGAGCAGCTGTATCTTAAGTCATTTCTGAAATCTTAATGGTCATCCCTGTTGGTTGTATAAGATTTGATTGTATCTTCTTGGTGGACTGCTGTTCACTGTTGTTCAGTTTACATCTATAAAATCCTTTTTCCATGCTTAAAAAGATAAAGAAATGTAAATTTCTATTGCACTTGATGATTTCTGCATCATATATTCTTCCAATTTCTAAATTTTAATGCTAGGTACAATTTTTCAATGGACATCTAAACGTTAATATTTTTTGTCCTAAAACCAATCAAGTCCTAGCACTAATGTATTCTAGTATCACTATTTACAAGTTTGAGTAATCAGAGAAACTATAGGACTATCTATTGCACTAGACACATTCTTTTCTCTCCACAAAACTTAACTTGTTTTTCTGGTTCCCAGAATCAGACATATAAAACAAAGATTCACTAAGCTACCAAAGGAACTAACATGATAGAGTTAAATTATTTGGGAAATTTCCTATATCATAGATGGAAATTTCCTAGAAATCAAATTCTGGAAGTGAAGGCCCCCAACGTCATGAATAAGAACTAATCTTATCCTCTATTCAAGTTAGGGTCCATTTGGCATAGCCCCGATGAGATTATCTTTACATAGAAGTCTATTTTTAAAAAAAAACATATATAACTCATTTTGCAATTGTCATTACTAAAAATTTAAAAAAAAAAACCACCAAAATCAATGGTTGGTCCAAATCCATGTCAAACAAGAGGAAAGACCACCTGGGGTGAAGTATCTTTCCTACAGGAAATTCTTTCCAGTTCTCGAAATATAACCCTGGAAATCTCTGCATGCCGGTTTGGTCGATGATGACCTCCACCTTCAAAGCAAGGAATCTGGCCTGTGTTTATCCACTGCATTACCAAGAAAATCTAAGTATTGCCAGAAAAAGCCAAAATAAGAATGAAAGTCGAAAATAAAAGAACGAGAAAAACCTTCAAATAAATGGCAGAATTTATGAGAGCATCCAACCGGTCCTCACTTTGTGAACTTCCAGCAAGTAGATCGCGTACAACTTCAAGCTTCAACATTAAAAGGTGTACAATTAAAACAATGAAAAAAATGGATTTTGAAATTAAGAAAACTGACAAAATAAAACATTTCCACCATATAAAATGAAATTTGGATTTAATTAATCAATAAACTGGAGCAACAACTTGTAATATAACCACCTTTTATCTTTGTTGACAAGGTCTCCTACATATAAAGACTTCAAATTTCATAATTAGAAGCTGACTACTAGCTTTAGTATACCTAAATCGTTAAAGTATTATCATATTATTGTAATTTGATATCAATTGTAACAGCCAATGGCCACAATCAATTAGATGAACACGGAAAAGTTCTGGTGGCTTATGATCGGAAGAAATTTCAACAAATTAACATTTAAAGAAAGAAAAAAATTCACCAAAACTTGAGCCACATAACATGAAGAACAATATATGAGCACTAACCATGTTTGAAATCTAAAGGTATCAAATAAGAAAACAAGTTTGGCAAGATCCCCTAATCAGTCCAAAATGAAAAAAATAATAATAAGATACCGTCATGACAGATTTCATATAAAACAACCCAAAGGCATGACTCCCTGTTTGAATTCAAACATCAAAGCTTCTTGAACAATGTGTAAAACTTCAAAACACACAACAAGAGATAAATAAGTATTCAGAAAGCAATTGTTAATGTAAATGGTATCTCAGGAAAGCTGAGACAACATTCATTCCATATTTACTGAATAAATCTCATAGATTTTGAAAATTCAGATAAAAGCCAATCAATCGAGGTACCTTTCTCCACCAATTCCTTGCATTTCGATCACCTTCAACTAACTTCAGAGCCAAACCTTCAAGACCTGAAGTGTCCCATCTTCTTCCTGCTTCACGGTTTCCATGCTCATTCGACCGCATAAATGAGGTAGCATTCCCCTTCCACTGACCAACAAAAGGACTAGTCCCCACCTCTGGAGTACTAACAGTATCAACAATTGTAGACCCATTATTTCCCACATCCTCCTCTTTCTCCAAAGGCAGCAAATCCACAGCCTCCCCTGTTGCATTCCAATGACTAACAATCCCAAAAGTTCCTCCTTTGGGAAGTTTCAAGACACGGTTATCACCACCTTCCCAAAGCACACTCTTGTCCGCCCTAACAGTCAAAAACTTATACTCAACAGACTCACCCCCTTTGAACTCCAAGCTGCATACCCATCCGCTCTCGGTCCAATTCATAGGCACCCTCTTCTTCCATGATCCCAATTCCTTTATCGATCCCAAAATCACAACACTCTCACCAAATTCAACTTGGTGATCCAATCGAACATTAAGCTGAACCTTCTCATTCCCAGACTTGGGACTTGGACTTCATCTTGCTTTCCTTCTCCTCTTCTCTGCCAACAGAAAAAATGAATAAGAATGACTTTATTATAACTTGTCCTATTCCAATCCCCAGAAAACTAGACTTCAATGCATGTTTGGTCGTCTCTTTGGAGTAACATTGTTGCAATTTGCAAATGATCAAACATATTTTATGCAGAACATAAAGAACATAAGTTGAACCGTTTTCACTAATTGCACAACTTGAAATTAATCCCTAAAGTTGAATTTGTAGTGACCAAAGTTATTCTCAGACAACTTAAAGTTCGTGCATTCAAGTTACTTCCGGGAAGTTGGTCGATGAATTTCTAACCTTAAATGCCATCTAAAACACAGCAGAACAAATCTATTGCACAAGACATTTAGCAAAATAAATAACTCCTCCAAAAAAGGTTAAGACTTTAGTGTGGCTAAGAAAATACATATCATATTCTACTTGTGCAGTAAGATGGATACCCAACTTCCGTTTGGTAACTGAGAAAATCAAAAAATGAGGAACTAGAGCGAAAAATACAGAGGGAATTAAGAAAATTAGACAAAAGCGTATTACATGGATTGAGCTGAGGAAACACCAGCACTACAAAGGATCAGACGAGCGTTGGATTGGTGGCAGAGAAGACGAAAATTCCTCTTATGGCCGAAGAAGGGTGGCACCGCAAGGCTTCCAAGGCATTGATGCTGATGGTGGAGGAATCGGAATTGCTTGTGGCGACGGAGTTGGGAGGAAGCGGAGGTGTGCAGCGAATGCAAGCAATCCATTATACCAAATGCCAAAGAAGAATTCACAAGCAAAGACTAGAGAGAGAGAGAGTGTGTGTGAGTGACAGAGAGAGTGAGTGAGGTCTGGGTTGGAAGCAGAGATCAGTCCATCATGATGATGATGAGGAGGAAGATTGAAGAAGTGAGAGAGGTACTTGTCTTTTCTTAAGAGGTACTTGTCTTTTTTTAATTTGATTAGGCCACGTGTCAGTAAGCAATCGCAATCCCTAAAATAGATCCATTTTGTCCGGGTCCTCTACGCAAAAAAGCTCACCAAAATTTAATGGTTGTGTTCCTTTCCGCTGAAAACCACGAAATAATTATTCAGAAAAGAAAAAATCTTCTTTTTTATATATTTGTTTGACTTTAACTCTATTTTTATAGATATTTCTCGGAAAGGTTAAATAGTGGTGTATATCTAAAAAAAAACAAGAGATTTTTATGTGACTTTAAAAAAAAAAAAAAAAAAAAAAAAAAAAAAAAAAAAAAAAAAAAGAATTTCATTCCGTTTGGTATCCTATTTATAGGAAACTTACAAATTTTGATTTTTTTTATAAAAAAAAAGTAGTTTTAAAAATTAATTTTATAACATTCAAAACTCATTTGATATCCTATTCAAATAGGGAACTAAAAAAAACTTTGAATTTTCTTAAAAATAAGGAGTTCCCAAAATTCATGTTTTAAGATTCAAACACTTGTTTGGTATGCAACTTGAAATAGTTTCTAAAGAAAATTCTAAAAAAACCTATTCTTTATGTTTTCAAGTATTTGAGTTTGAGTGTTTTGAGTTATTTTTTAGTTTCGGTTTTCAAACTACTATAACACTACATTATTTTTTTTTTTTTTTTTTTTTTTTTTTGTTTTTTTTTCTTTTTTATTTTGTTTTTTAAGCTTAAAAAAAGTTGGATTAAAAAAATATCCGAACATATCCGAACATATCATTTTGTAGAGCATCCTTCAAGGATAAGGTGTAATTTGGAGTTGTGATTCGACTATTTTTGTGGAATTTTGCCTAATCATTTTAGCAAAAAAAATTCTTCCTCCAAGTCATGAGGCAAGGTCATTTTAGTAACCATTGTAAAGTTGTGTAAACCTTAATTTATTTATTTAACATGTAGAATTATTAAATGAATTTTTTATTACAAAAATTGTGTGTGGCCTAATTTAGTAATAATTTAAAAAAAATTGTGTGATGGCTAATTTACCTCGTGTTTCTCAACAAAGTATAGTTCTCTAGTGTGGTGTATGGGCAAGGTATAGGTGCCTTAATGTGAGGAATGAGGCAAGTATAGTATGATGGGGCAATGCAAATAAGTATAGTTGTCACATTAATGTTGATGTGTTCGTTTTTATATATGAAGGATGTGAATATTAAAAGACAATATATTGACATAGTATCAATACGGGGTCAATATCATTGTGGGTAAGATGACAATAACAAAGATATTGACATGTTATCGATACATTATCAATGCAATTCTCGTGTTTTAAATATCTTTGTGTGCGTACATATATGTATTTATGAGAAGTTTTAAGTGAGGATGTCATATATCTTTAGATGATTATTAGTGGTACTCCAATATATTCATCATGTACTTGTCTCCCTATTTCTTTCATTAGTAAGGTGTTCAAAATCACTAATTTGGAGTGATAATAATAACTCTCTATATTTACACAAGAATAGGGTTTGTCATTGGGCCAAGCCAGGGCAACTTGGCCTGAAAGTTTTGGGCTTGGGACTGTCTTATTGGGCTTTTTGGTTTTCTAAGCCTGGTTGGGCTTGATAGGTTCATTATTTCTTATATTTTTATGAGTGCTTCTATAGTGAGTGGAAAGTTATAAGGGGTTTTTTTGAGGGGTATGTAAGAGCCGTTGGATTTCATCCAACGGTGAGTTTTTAAAAGAGGGTGCATGTAGAACCGGGTTGAAATCTGACCCGTTTGGAGACCCAACTTCAGCTGAAGATTTTTCCCTCTCTGTGAAAAACTCAAGAACACAATCCTCTCTTTTTTAATGTAATGCAAATCCACAATTAGAAAGATCCAAAGCTCCCAAACTCTATAATCGCTCCATTGTCATCAGCTCCTTGGGAGGCCTGCGATCTATGGTATCCTCGGTATGATGATTAATGGCTTTTACCTAGCTATTGCCCTGTTTTGATTCTATGATTGAAGTGAAAACCCCTTCTCTTTTTCGTTCAGCAGAAGAGATTCCAGATGAAAGCAAAGTAGCATATCTCTTTTTCGTGCTGCTGCAGTTGTTCCTGGATTTTGGTAGAGATGGAGTCTCCACTACGAAAGAATCCTCTCTAATGTCCACCACATTCTTTGAAGCTGACTGAGTTCGGAGCTCCCGATTGACTTTGAGAGGTAAGTTCACTCTTGCTGGATTGATTTTGTTGGGTTTGATTTGTTTTTTGTGAGGGTGAGAAATTTGTCATTTGTGGCATCAATAATGCGTCATTTGCTCTGCTATCAATAATGCGTCATTTGACTTTGAGAGGTAAGTTCACTCTTGCTGGATTGATTTTGCTGGGTTTGATTTGTTTTTTGTGAGGGTGAGAAATTTGTCATTTGTGGCATCAATAATGCGTCATTTGCTCTGCTATCAATAATGCGTCATTTCCTTATGAATATTCAATATACTTAGTTGATTATTTTTGTTTGGAGGGGGATTGGAAAATTATGAAATGTAGGTAAAAGATCCTAAACTTAGGCTTAATGGCATTAGAAGTAAGCATTTGGAGAGGATATTGGGTGAAGTTCTGTAATTGCTGGTTTGAATTACATTTGAGTTCTTAGTTGAACATGTTGGTTCTAATGTTATTTTTTCCAGATTATTTCACAAGAGATGACGTAACTAGTATTAAATTTTGCTTGTGTTTTGTGTAATCAGAATCCAACAAGCTAGGCTATGCGTGTATTGTGTCAATTTGGGCAATGTTTTGTGTAAGTGGAATGCATTGCTAAGTTGTGATGCAGTAATGATTGATTAATGAATTAACATTTGCTATGCAGTAATATAGAAGTAGATCAATAATATACGTGGATAAAATGTCTGGGGGCTCAGAGAGTGACGACTCTGTAACAGCTAATGGGAGGGTTTACATTCCTGAAGTAAGAAATGAGGAAACACCAGCAGTTGGGATGAAGTTCGACTCGCTTGACCTCGTTTATAATTTCTATAATAGATATGCATTCTTGGCTGGCTTTGGTATTCGACTTCATTCCAGCTTTTGGGGGAAAAATAAGAAAGAGATTCTGAGAAAAGAATTTGTATGTTGCAAACAAGGTGCATACCGGAATGATGAAACTCGGGAGAGAAAAAGACAACGGGGAATAAGTAGATGCAATTGCAAAGCTAAGATTGTGGTTGTGAAGACACATGGGAGCAAGAAGTATACCATCTCTCTTTTTGCAGAGGGACACAATCATAAGATGACACCCTCAGGAAGAATGCATTTACTGAGATCACACCGTCGTATTTCAGATTCTACAAAAGTACTTACAAAACAGTTGGGTTCGGTTAATATTCCCATTAATCAGAAGGTAAGTATTTTCGAGGTGCAATCCGGAGGAATGGATAAAATCGGTTTTATGAAAAAGGATATGTACAATCTTGAATGTAGTGTGAATGAGAAGCTGAGGAACCACGATGTTGAACTAGTGACCGAGTATTTTATGGCTGAACAGAAAAAAAATGAGGCTTTTTATTTCAAGATTGAGGGAGATGGCGATAACAGGTTTAGTCGATGTTTTTGGGCAGATGCAACTTCTAGACGGGCGTACGGGTTTTATGGAGATGTTGTTGTATTCGATACCACATTCAACACGAATAGATACGACTTGACATTTGCACCAATGTTGGGAGTTAATAACCATGGTCAAACAATTGTCCTAGCATGCGCATTTTTGAGCAAGGAAACGACTGAGTCGTTTATTTGGATGTTTGAAGAGTTTAAGAAAGCCATGCCAGGTGGCGAACCTAAAACGATCATCACAGATCAAGATGCGGCAATGAGCAGAGCGATTTCAATAGCCTTCCCGACTACATTTCATCGACTTTGCATATGGCACATCACATCAAAGTTCTCTGTTAAGTTACCACATTCTGCTTATAAGGAGTATTGGGGTGAATTCCAGAAAGCCATATGGGATACTGACAATAAGGATGAGTTTGATGCAAAATGGAATATTGTGGTTACAAAGGCTGGTTTGACTGACCATCCATGGCTAAGTTCAATGTTTGATTTAAGGGAATCTTGGGTTCCAGCCTACGCACGACACTTTTTTGCCGCTGGAATGTCAAGCAGCCAAAGAGCTGAATGTTCTCATGGTTTCTTCAAGCAATACATATCAAGGAAAAATTCGTTGATGGATTTCATAATAAGATTTGAGAGGGCACTTTCTCATCAACGTCAAAAAGAGTTAGTTGCTGATCACGTAGATGCATTTGAAGTGGCTCAATGTATTCTACCGATGCCAATGAACAAACAAATGGCTACCTTGTACACAAGGACAATGTTTCAAAAGTTTGAGCAAGAACTAATACAAAGTACAGCATGTTTCCTAGAGCTGAAAACAGAGGATGCTTCTAAAGTTGTCTTTAATGTGAGCGAAAGGAAAAATTGGGAAACAAGAGTGGCAGAAGTCGTATATGTCAAAGATTCTGACCACGCATCGTGTAGCTGCAAAAGATTTGAATTTGTTGGAATTATTTGCAAGCACATCCTAGCATTGTTCAGAAGGGACCAGATTGAATATATGCCCGATAAATACATTTTGAAGAGGTGGAAGAAAACTGCGAAATTTGGATTGGTGTCAGATGCAAATGGCAACGAAATTAAAGACTCTGCAGATCCTGGTCTTTTAATAAAGCGGAGTACAATGTCCCGACTTGCTTCAGATGTGGTTGAGGATGCATTAATGTGTGAAGAAGGATGTGAGCTACTGTCAGAGACTCTAAAAAGTTTGCAGGTGAAGTTGAAGTTGTTGAAGGAT